TATTTTCTCACCGGTCTAGCCGACGAAGCCCTCACGGTGAAACTTGGAGAGGAGACCCCGGCCACCTTCGCCGAGGTGCTTCAGAAGGCGAAGAAAGTCATCGATGGATAGGAGCTCCTCCGAACCAAAATCGGCCGACCCGAACGAAAGATCGGTCGGGGTAAAAGTGGAAAGGACATGGAAAAGGCAGATCCCAAGTCCAAGGACAAGGGATCCTTCTCCAGCGACCGAGCTGAGTACCGAAGGGCGGAGAACGGACCCACCAAGAGCAGACCTTACGAACGCTTCACTCCGACCACGATTCCAATCTCCGAGATCCTAACGAACATCGAGGAGTCTGGAATGGAAAAACTCCTCAAACGACCTGAGAAGCTTCGGGGAGCCCCGGAGAGGCGCAGCAAGGACAAGTATTGCCGCTTCCATCGGGAGCACGGCCATAACACGTCAGATTGCTGGGAATTAAAGCGCCAAGTTGAGGATCTTACTCAAGATGGCTACTTCAAGAAATTCGTGGGGAAGCCCAGGACCAACTCGGCAGAAAAGAAGGAAGAAAGGAAGCGTTCGAGGACGCCGCCCCGGCGCATTGACCGACCTGCGGTCATCAATACCATTTTCGGAGGGCCAAGCGGGGGCCAGTCCGGACAGAAAAGAAAGGAGTTAGCTCGTGCAGCCAGGTGCGAGGTGTGCATCATCAGGGAGCAGAGGCCGACCTGCCCAATCACCTTCGATAGTGCAGACTTGGAGGAGGTCCACCTACCCCACAATGATGCACTTGTGATCGCTCGCTTGATTGATCATGTGGTGGTCAGAAGAGTACTAGTAGACGGGGGCGCGTCTGCTAACATCCTGTCCCTACCAACATATCTCGCCCTAGGATGGACAAGATCACAATTAAAGAAAAGCCCGACACCGCTAGTTGGGTTCTCTGGAGAGTCGGTCACCCCACAGGGTTGCATCGACTTGCAGGTCACATTTGGGCAAGACAAAACACAGGTCACCCAAATGGCCGAGTTCGTGGTGATTGACGGTAGATCGGCCTATAACGCCATCTTTGGGAGACCCATCATCCACTCATTTCGGGCCGTTCCCTCAACACTTCATCAAGTTTTGAAGTATTCCACCCCTAATGGCGTGAACACAGTCTGAGGAGAACAGACCGCTTCGAGGGAATGCTACGCCTACGCACTCAAAGGGTCATCGGTATGCACCCTCGAAGAGCAAGCCAGTGGGGATGGGCCGCTTGAGTTCGAGGCCGACCTGCCGAGAAGGGAGTTTTCCGCGCCCACTGAGGAGCTCGAGCTTGTTCCTCTGCTTAGTCCCGAGAAACAGGTAAGCATAGGAACTAAGCTGGGGGCCACTGACAGAGAGGAGCTAATCCACTTCCTTAGGTCCAACTCGGACGACTTTGCATGGTCTCATGAGGACATGCCTGGCATTGACCCGAAGATTATGACGTATCGCCTCAGCATAGACCCGTCATTCCGACCTGTAAAACAAAAAAGAAGACCTATAAACAAGGAGAGAAGTGATGTAATTGTTGAGGAAGTAAACAAACTATTGAAAGCTGAATACATAAGAGAAATTTTGTATCTCGAGTGGCTCTCTAATGTTGTATTAGTTAATAAATCTAACGGGAAGTGGAGAATGTGCGTAGACTTTACGAACTTAAACAAGGCATGCCCGAAGGACTACTTCCCACTGCCGAGGATCGATCAGCTCGTGGACGCCATAGCTGGGCACGAACTGCTCACCTTCATGGATGCCTACTCTGGGTACAACCAAATCAAGATGCATGTCCAAAATCAAGATCATACCGCATTCATAACAGACTAAGGTCTGTATTGTTACAAGGTCATGCCCTTCGGTTTAAAAAACGCAAGAGCGACCTACCAGAGAATGGTGAACAAAATGTTCGCCAAGCAGATCGGCCGGAATATGGAAGTGTATATGGACGACATGCTTGTCAAGAGCAAGCAGTCTAAGTCGCATCTTTCCGATCTGACCGAAGCCTTCGAGGTTCTGAGGACTTATCAAATGAAGTTCAACCCAGATAAGTGTGCCTTTGGAGTCTCTTCGGAAAAATTCCTTGGCTTCATGGTGAACAACCGGGGGATCGAGGCCAACCCCGAAAAGATTAAAGCCGTGCTCGAGATGGGAGCACCCAAGACGCTGAAGCAGCTTCAATGCCTCAATGGCAGGATTGCAGCCCTGAACCGGTTTCTTTCAAGGTCGACAGATAAGTGTCTTCCTTTCTTCAAAATCCAACGAAAGAAAGGGCCGTTTGAATGGACAGCGGAGTGCGAGCAAGCATTTCAGCAGTTGAAGAGTTACCTCTGCTCGGCACCTTTGCTCGCCAAGCCCCTGCCAGGGGACAAGCTTCAGTTGTAGATAGCAGTGTCTGACAGCGCCATCAGCTCGGCTCTAATCAGGCAAGAGGAAACGCGGCAAAGCCCAGTCTACTACACAAGCAAGGCTATGACCGAGGCCGAGACCAGATACCCTCAAATGGAAAAGTTGGCTCTCGCTTTAGTCACATTGGCCTGATGGCTCAGATCATACTTCCAAGCCCATACTGTGGTGGTGCTCACTAACTTGCCCCTAAAAAACATCTTCCATAAGCCAGAAGCTTCTGGACGCCTGATGAAGTGGGCAATGGAACTGAGTGAGTATGACATCCAGTTCGAACCTCGAACTGCGTTGAAAGGACAAGCAGTGGCAGATTTCATAGCCGAGCTAACGCCACCTTCTGAGCTGAGCGAGTCCGACCTACCGTGGACAATCTATGTCGACGGATCCTCCAATGAGAGGGGGTGCAGGGCCGGGGTCCTCTTGCTCGGACCAGGAGGCGAGCGATTTGAATATGCCTTGCGGTTCGGCTTCCGGACTTCTAATAACGCGGCTGAGTACGAAGCACTTATTGCCGGTCTGCGAATCGCTAGAGCATTGGGGGCCTCTTGTGTTAAGGTCTTCAGCGACTCCCAGCTGGTTGTGAGCCAGATCAAGGAAGAG